CTCCCCAGCAGACGCAGAGATGCAGATCTTTGTGAAGACCTTGACGGGCAAGACCATCACTCTAGAGGTCGAGCCCAGTGACACCATTGAGAATGTCAAAGCTAAAATCCAAGACAAGGAGGGTGAGTTGGGTTGCGGCTGGGTGCTCCGCAAAGTGGGGGCCCTTCAGCCCTGGGGATCTGCTGTCCTGTGTGGAATGGGTGCTTGGACAGATCTCAACCATGTCAGTGCTTCCCCTGTGTGATCTTGGGAAGGCAGCTTGTCCTCTGTACCTCACTTTCCCTTTTGACAGTTTGGGGGTGATCCTGGCACAGCCCTGTGGACGAAGGGGAGATTTGCCGGTAGTATTCTTGCCAGAGCTTTAGTAACTGAAGTGCTCTCTTCTTAGGCATTCCACCTGACCAGCAGCGTCTGATTTTCGCGGGCAAACAGCTGGAGGATGGCCGCACTCTGTCAGACTATAATATCCAGAAAGGTACGGGGGTGGGGTGGCTAGACAGGACCTCAGTGAGGCCTAGGACCCAGGATGGGGAGCTGACAGCCTCTTCAGCACCGGGAGGGGGCTGTAGAGGAGGACTGTTCTTAAGGTGAGGATCAGATAGGGCTATAGGGAGTATTGCTCTGTAAGGTACTGTTTCCATCGCCGGAAAGCATCTCAAGATCTCCACCAGGATTTCCAAATGGCGATGGTTTCTCATCTTCTTATTCACTTTTTTTCTTTAATTCTTGTGTTTGTGTTTCTCAATGTGATTACTGTAAAGAAAATCGGCACCACTTTTTGCAGCAAAAGATGTAAATATCTTACCTAGGAAAATAAAAGGTCGTCCTTGCACCACTTAGAAATTGCCTTGCCCTTGGGGAAACCCAGATGGACACCACTGTTGATGTATATTTATATTAGTCTCAGACTCCCCGAGGACTGGTGGGAAATGACAAGGTGGAGGTTTTGTGGGGTGGGCTGGGCTGGGCTGGTGTGTCCATCTACACATAGAACACGCAACGGATTCCGACGTGTCGCTGTCACACGTGAGAAGCTCTGGTCTGCAGGGCACTGGAGGCTGCCCTGTACCTGTGGGACTGAAGTGGTGAGCCTAGGCTCAGTCACTGTCTCTCTCTGCCCTTCGTTGCCTATAGAGTCCACCCTGCACCTGGTGCTTCGTCTGCGAGGTGGCATCATCGAGCCTTCCCTTCGCCAGCTCGCTCAGAAATACAACTGCGACAAGATGATCTGCCGCAAGTATGTACTCTTCAGGTTGGGGGTGTGGGCTGGCCCTGGGGGGGGTGTCGGGATGTGCCCTCACCACTCGCTCGTGTCCTCGCACAGGTGTTATGCTCGCCTGCACCCCCGTGCTGTCAACTGCCGCAAGAAGAAGTGCGGCCACACCAACAACCTGCGCCCCAAGAAGAAGGTCAAATAAGGCCCCTCCGCCGGCTGCTTCTTTGCCCGCAGGGTGGCCTCCTGCCTAAGCCCCATGGCCCTGGGGCCTCAGTAAAGTTTCCCTTTCGTTGACTGGAGCAGTAACTGGTGTCCATGTGGTTGATCTGTCCAATGGGGAGGTGGCTGAGGTGCGGGCATCTCCCTTAGGGACTTCCTGTCACTCAGTTCTTCATAGCTCTTGGGGGTCCTCTGTCCTGGGTTCTAGTCTTCTTACCTGTAAAGTGGGCCATGGTCTCTGCCCTTCATGTCTAAAGTTGTCATAACCACAGCACAGGCAAGTCTCACTCCTGGCCCTCTGCCACATAGTCTAGTGAGCCCAACCATCTGGATTTTGTCATCTGTAATACGGGAATAAAGACCTCAGCCTAGGAAATGGTGGGATCTGGTCAAGCACATTAACAACCCTCACATCTGGGGCCTGGAAGTGTTCGGGTGTAGGTAGATGGGGTAGGAAGGAACACCCCACCTAGCGTAAAATACCTGTTCTCAATTTTGACTGACCTTTAGGAGCTCCTGGGTCCCACCCAAGACTGATGTCTGTCAGGTGAGGGCTTGTAGTGCCCTGACAAAGCCATGCTTCTATCTGTCTGGGGGTGATTGGGGCTTCCTGTAGGTGACAGCCCAGACCTAGACAGTGATGCTTGAGAACAGCTGAGACCTGGAGTGCCAGCTAAAGGCTGTCACTTCAGGCCTCAGTTGAGTTTCATTTTTGTCAGTTGCCCCCTCCTTCCTAAGGCCAGGCCACCACCATCTTTCTGGTCTACCCTGTGTCCACTCCTGGAGGAGGAAGCTTCCTGAAGCTCAAACTAGGCAGTGTATGTCCAGCTCCCAGCCCTTCTCTGTACTTAATAGGGACCCTCTCACCCCCCACCCCTGACCTCAGCCCTGCACCAGACTCCTGCCCTACGACTCCCTTTTGCACAGGCCCCCCTCTTCAAAGCAGTTCGCACAGAACCTGTGGGTGTCAGTGACTTGAATTCTCCAGTGTCAGAACCTGCGTTCAAATCCCACTCTTGTCACAACCTTGTGGTGTTAGGTGATGGCTATCACTTCTTGGATTCAATTTTCTTTATATTAGTGGGGATCGGATGTGAGAAAGTGAAGTCGGGTTTTGGTTTTTTTTTTTTTTTTTAACGAATCGGCTTTGGGTTTTGTTGTCCCTTTGGATTATTTCTTTGTTTTCTATTTCATTCATTTCTGCCCATCATTCATCATTTCCTTCTGCGTTCTTTGGAGTTACTCTGCTTTGCTATTCTTCTACTCTCTTGAGTTGGATTCCTAGATCATTTATTTTTAGTTGTCTTGCATTTAAGGCCATATACTTCTCTCAAACCATCGCTTTAGTCGAATTCCATGTTCTGATGGGTTGTGACAGCCATTGCTGCCACTCGCTGGTACCCGGTGCCTTCCCACCCACAAGAGGATTTTATTTCTTCACCCCCTTCAAATTTAGCCTGGCCACGCAGAGATGTGAGGGTAAGTGGCCAGTGCTACTCGTAGGTGGCAGCGTTTATTGCTGATTCCAGACCCTCCAGGGCCCTCCTCCCCAAGCCACAGGGACTGGTGACGTTCCAGACGGTCGATTCTCCAACAGCCTCAGCTCTGAGTGAAGACGATGTGAAACAAAGCCTTCCTGGCCAAGCACAGGCGCGTAACAGAAGGGAGAAGCAAACCGTAGGTGCGTAAACCACCAAGGCTCGAGGCTTGCTTGTTATCTCAGCCCATCCTGGATGAGACACATAGTGTTTTCATTATTGTTCAGTTTCATAATTTCCGTTATAATTTCTTCTTTGACATATGATTTATCCATTGACACTTTTTATTTCAAAGTATATGGAAAGTTCTGATCTTTAATTTTATTACATGTGGTCAGAGAACATAATTCCTCTATGATATAATGATTCAATATCTCTTGAGATGTATTCTGGGGCCCAATATGATCAGTTTGGGTAAATATTAATCATGTGCTTGGAAAAATATGTATTTTCTAATTGGCAGGTAGTGGAGTTCTGTATTTGTTGTTAGATCAATCTGTTCACTGCATGGTTCAACTTTTCTGCAAGCTTGCTATTTTTTTAATTTGCTTTTGCTCTATCAGCTGCTGAGAGAAGCATGTTATAATCTGCTGTGGTTGTGGGTTTGTCGACTCTTCTTTGCCCTTCAGTCAAGGCATGCTTACTAGCTACTGTGTGCTCCCTCTAGCCTTCAATCTCGGAACTCTGGGGAAGGGTAAGTCTGGGGACCGCAAAGTCTCACCGCCAGCAGCTCAAGTCGGCCAGGGAATGTCTTGTTGGATCATTGACTTCTCGGAGCACTTATGAAAGCTAGAAGCCCTCTCCCTAAATGTGCATATGTGATTTCAGAGGCTTCTCTTTCTCTGCAAGCTTGACATCCCAGAGTGGAAGTTTGGTGATTTCGCTTTTGAAACAAAAATGCAAATTTGTAGGCTGACAGATGATATGAGAAACAGAGAAGATGAAGGAAAGGCTCTAAGTCTGGACCATGTGGTCACTACGTTCCCCCCCCCCGCCCCGGCTTGTCCCAATGCCCCAGGCCAGGTACTCAACCCCCTGCTGATTGGGAGCCTTGGATTTCCAGGCCAGGTCCCCTTCCGGGTACACCCTCGATCCCAGCCTAGGTTCTGGGCCTGTTCCTCCCGCTAGGGATCCAAGGCCCAGCCTACTCTGCCTCTACAGCCAGTCCTGACCAAGATACACTACCATTCCCAGGCCAACTCCACGCGAAGCCACGCCCACATCACACTCTACGCTGGGATTCACAGGCCACGCTGCTCTAGAGACCCAATCCCAGTCTAGAGCTGGTCCCTGAGACTCCGCCTACTTCACAACCCTCACAACCCAACCACCCCACCCCACCCTCGTCCCTGCCCACCTATCCCCTGCCTGAGATTTCACCACAGTTTCCCCTTCCCTGCCTACATGAGGCCATGCCCATGTTGCGCTCTGCACTGATTCTAGGGCCCGCCCACTCGGCCCCTCTCCTCAGGAGCCCCCCAAACCTAATCCTAGATTCCTCCTGCGCTAAGTACCGCCCCTTGAGACTCCCGCCTGCTGTGGCCCCACCCTTGCACTGCCTTTCCCCGGTGCTTCAGTGTCTCTTCCTCCCTACTATGTGGGAGGGCAGGGGGTGGCCTCTGCCAGTTGTGACATCCTCCTTGCTGCCTATTCCCCAACCAGGTGGCCCTGCTGCAGCTGATGGGGACACCAGAGCTGACTGGGCAGAACAACCTGCAGATACACCAGCTGAAGATGAAGTGAGCACCGCCTCCCAGTGGGCTGACCATGCTAGATTTGCACATGCACCCTTGGGCACCCACCTCCAGCCAGGTGCGCCCCAGGGCTGGCAAGGGTAGATCTGCACACGACCCTTAGGGTGTGCACGCCAGAGTACTCACTTGGTGACTCCTAGATGTACTACACACATTCCCCCAGCGCACAGGCTGTGCAGTTTCACACCAGACTCTCTGTGCATTCCCAGGACACAGCTGCGCACCTCACACACACCAATCCTGCTCACGTGGCTCAACTCCGAGCTTGGACATGGTCGCCCAGTCCCCACCAGGCACACGCCTGCACATTCCTTCCTTTGGCCCCCCCAAGTGCACACATGTGCACACCCACTAGACATGTGTCACAGTCACCCTGCACACCTTCCTGATGGCACACACCCACCCAAGATGACCTTTTCTCTTGCCATTCGGGACCCGTGGGACCACCCATCCTCCCAGGCACCTAAATGGTCCTGGCTGCTAGCGCTGCCTGGAGGTTTGGCGGCAGGCAAGAGGGCCCACGGCTGGCTACAGCCCCTTTGGAGCTGCGCAGCGGCGGCTAATTCGCCCCATCTGGGTTTTATTTATAGTTCCCATCCACTCTTGTAGGGTAATTAAAACCATGGAAGCGATCAGTGAGGTTCTCCAGGATCTCAGGTTTGATGCAGAATCTGCCGAGTGATGGTGGCTCCCCAGGGACAAGCCAAAGGAGATGGGAAGTGGGGTATACAGCGCTCTGCCCTGACTGCCAGCTGGCTGGGGTCATGCCCCACCGGACCACTGACCCTCTTCAAGTTCGCCTCACCTCTCATAATAAAGAACCTAAAGAACCTTTCGTCTGCAGCTGCTCCACTGTCTCTCTGTGCTGGGGTGGGATCCCACAAAGCCAGGGATGGCAGGTGCAAGATTCCCCCACTCCATGAGTGTAAAAACTCTGGTGTTTTGAATCACACTCTCCAAGGAGTTTGGAACCAGATATTTCAGATCATGGAGAGAGTCAGAAATTCTGGGAGGTCAAGATTCCCATCCCAAAGGGTCATCAGGATTCCTCGTCAGCCCCCACCCTAGGCCACTCTAGCCCCAAACTCACCTTCACAGTCAAGGCACCTAAATAGTTTGTTTATTTAAAAAGACTCTTTGGAGTGGTCCTGGGTAGCGGGGAGTAATGACCCTTTTTCACCCCCAGCCCTGGCAGGCGTTTTGGGAAGCTCAGCCCCCCTCACACACATTCCCCCCACTGGGGTGCACCTCACGTGGAGGCCAGAGCTGTTGTGGCCCTCGGAGCTCAGAGTGCTCACCCCAGCTGCTGCCGAGAGGGCTGGGGCACCCTGAGGTGAGGGTACAGAGGTGGCCCCCAGTCTGGGGGTGGCCCCTGGGTCTCCATGCAGCAGGGAGGGCAGCCCCAGCCTCTAGAGCTTATCTGGCAGGACCTGCAGGCAGAGGGGAAGCCAGGCTTAGCAAGGAGCCTGGGAGGGGCCAGGAGCACAGAGCAAATGAGGAGGCCCCAGTTCAGGTCCTGGTCCCACCACTTTCAGCCGGGTGACCTTGGGTAGGCTTTTGCCCCTCTCTAGGCACCGGTTTTCCCATCTGAAAAGTAATATCTATCTATTCCATGGGGTGTCCTGCAGGTAATGTGCTTGGCACAGGGCCGGTATGCAGTAGGCGCTCATATGCTACCGGGTGGCTATGTGCATTCATCCCTGAGGATGACATTCCCCTCTGGACATTTTAAAGGGGTCTGGATGCTCTTACCAGACTAAGGGCTACAGGGGCAGGCACACAGTAGGTGTTAAAGTAAATGCTGATAAGAGAAACGTAAATGCTGATAAGAGATGGAGGAAGGGATTGCACCTCAGTAACTAGGGCTGAGGGTGGAGGGCCCGTGGCCTACGGCCACCAGGAGGGGCCCTTGTCTCCCTGCCTGCGCACCCACCTGGGCCCCCCTTACCTCTCGCCGCGCCCCGTCTGCCCGAGGACAGGATCCCCTCGTCCTGTGCTTGGAAGGAAGGAGGCAGTGTCTGAGGGCTGAGGACCTACCTCCCCAGCCCGTTTACCCCCCTGGCCCCACCCCTCCACCTCTCGCCCGGGCGTCCCTCCTTCCTACCTGGTTGCGGGTCTTATGTGACTTCTGCATCCAGGCTCGCCACTGGTCATAGAGGCGGAAGCTGAGGTTCGAGCAGTACGCGTGCTTCTTGAGCCAGCCCAGAAACTGCTTGAGCTCGCGTCGCACCGGCCCCGAGCTCGGCTCGCCGCCCCGCGGCTCGCACGCCCCGCCGCCCGGGCCCGGGCGCTCTAACGGGGGCGGAGAGGCAGCGTCAGGGCGCGCCCGGCAGAGGGCGCGCGCGGGCAGGAGAGGGATGTTCCCTTAGGGCACCTCCCTCCCTGTTTCTACGGGACCCGATCCTCCCCACGGCCCAGCCCAGCACTGCAGCCCAGCTGCGCCCCCAAGGAGATTGGGGGCAGGGGAAGGAAGGGGCTCCTCCTCCACATCCCCTCTAGGAACCCGATTCCCGTGGCCTGAGCCAGGTGTGAGTGGAAGGGGGCGGGGGGAGGAGAGAGAGGCCAGGGCCAAAGGGATGAGAAGCAGACAGAGCAGGGGGCAGTGGAAGGAAGAGAGAGACGCTGATGAGAAAGAGCTGGAGAGAGAGAGACAGAGACTGAGCGATGGAGGCAAGGAGAGACAGATAGAGGGAGAGAGAAAGCAATGAGAGACAGCCAAGGAGATGCAGAGGCTCGAGAGATGGAGAGCCAGAGCAGGGAGGGACAGAGACACTGGGGGTGTAGGGACGCAGAAACCAAGAAAGGCAGAAAGATAGAAACAGAGAAAGAGAGTGAGTGACAGAGAGATGAAGGGAGACAGAGAATTCGAGGTGGCTCTGAGGGGGAGGGGCAAGCCCCCAGGACAGGCCTGAGAGTACAGCCCGTTGGATGGGGAGTGGGCCAGGAGGGCCAGGTGGGAGGCAGGCCTGTCGGTCCAGTCGCTGGCCGCAGCAAGCCCTGAGCAGGCTGGCGGATAAGGACATCGGCCTCACGTCATAAATAACGCCGGGGACCCGCTGACAGGCCCTGGCACAGCCCCGGCCCCCACCGCCCCTGCCGGCTTCCCCTCGCCTCCCCAGCCTCCCCAGCGGACACAGCCGCCTGCTGGCTCACGTGCAAGAATCACAGGTGCTGGGCACGAGCAGGGGCCAAGGCTCAGGCCCCTCCCAGCTGTGCTAGTTCCCGCCCACCGCCGAACCTGGAGGGGCCCGGGATGGGGTCTGGGGAACTGGCTGGAGCCCTGCTCTGCCACTCCCTGACTCTGGGATCCTCTCTGGGCCTTGGTTTCCCCATCACCCCAGGAGCATGAGCCAGGACTTCAAGGGAACTGAGTTCAGATCCCTGTGTGACCTTGGGGCCTTGGTGTCCTCATCTCAGAAAAGGGGCCCTCCCTTAGGTGAAACCACTGGGGGAGCAGGGGATGGGAGTCTCAGTAACTATCACTTGCAAACACTTGGGTGGCACCCACCATGAGAGCACTTTCCATGGGTTATCTCTCATCTAACCCTCACAGTAGCCTGAGGCAGGCATGATTATCATCCCCACTTTCCAGATAGGGAAGCTGAGGCCAGATGTACCAAATAAGATTTCATACCATTTCACAAAGGAGAGAAGGGAGGTCCATGGGCTTAGATAAACCCCCCCCACCCCGCCCCGGACCCGCAAAGGGAATCAGACCCAGCTCCTGATCATCCCATCCCGCTGCCTTTAACAGAAGGGGAAATCAAAGCCAGTCATAGGGAGAGTTGGCAGCCCATCGTCTTAGAAGCAGGGGTCTCAAACTCACTTGCCCTTAGGGGCTGGGGAAGGGGTACATGTGGGTGAAACAGGCCAGGTGGGGATGGCACAACTGAAAGAGTAAGGGCCCTGACTTAAGGGGCAGCCTCTGCTGATGGGGGCTGTGGAGTAACTCTGGCTGTGTCCTATAACATTTTCTAGACAATTTTTCTAGGGAATCTAGGATATTTGTGTTCAAACTTATTGTTTTTAAAAGTCTGCCAGTAGGTCAAACTTTTTTTTTCCAAATGACAGGCCAAGAAAATAGATCCAAGGGCCACAATTGGCCCCCGGGGCCAAGAGTTTGAGACCTCTGCTCTCTTGAAGGAAACAAGGAAACAGAGGCCCAGACTGGTTTGGGGCTGGTCCCAGGACCACCCAGCCCTGTTGGGGTGCTCACCGCTTCGGGGGGTGGAGGCAGCCGTGGGGTGGCTCCATTCGCTCCAGATCCCTGCCTTCTTGGAGCCATAGATGCCAAAGGGGTTGCAGCGCACTTGCACGAAGTAGACGGTGCCTGGCTTAAGGCCTGCCAGGCGGCAGGAGGTCTGGTTGCTCACGTCGTCCACCACCTGGGCAGAAAGGGCAGGGTCAGAGGTCGTCCACCACCTGGGCGGCAAGGGCAGGGTCAGAGGCAGGCGGGGGCAGCTTGGGGTGGGGAGGGGCGAGAGGAGGAGGGAGGAGCGGAACTGGGGAGTGGATGCGGGCACCTTCCAATCCACGCTGTCCTCCACTCGGTAGCGGATCTGGTACTTGGCTTGGAAGAGGAAGTCCTTGAGGGCAGGCGGTGAAACCCAGCGCACGCTCAGCTGGTCCTCCAGGCCCCCTACGCGGCTCACATGCACTTCTGGCGGGGGGTCGGTGGTCACTAGAGGGGCGGGGCGGGGCTTAGTCACCGGGCTCTCTTTGGACCTGGCTGGTCCCTGTCTGGGTCCAAATACCAGGGAACGTGGCTTAGATGGCACCTGCCTCCGTTCTCCCCTCTCCCCCCTTCAGGATGGGTGGATTACATTAGATAACATTCAGGAAACACTCAGCACCTAGAAGCACTCAATTAATGTTAGCTGTTAGCACCATTATTATCTGTGACAGGAGAAACATAATCCTATCTTCAGGGAACTATGTAAAAAGCAGACACTGCCTGGATGATGATATTATTATTATTATGCCCAGGAGACCAGGGAGCCCTCGGGCTGCCAGACTCCTGGGAAGCTCCCCCGACCCCCCCCACTGCCCACCTCCTGCTCTTTCCAACTTCACAAAGGTCCTCAACGCGACGGCTTTGCTTGGTGCAAAGGGACAACTGAAGCTTAGAACATGCCCACTGCAGCTTCAGGACTTAAGGAAGCAAAGTGGGAAGCAGGAGGACGGAGTCACTGCAACACTTCTGAGGAACCTTCTGGGAGCCCTTTGGGCAGCAGGAAGGGCTGGCCTCTTCCCCTGAGGCCTTGGTGAGGGGCCGAAAGGGTTAAGGCACAGGCCTGCTTGGGGCTGAGAAACACCCTAATTAGATTAGGCCCAATTCTGCTCGCAGATCATCCATTTCCTGCCTCTCGCCTGCACGCCCCCCCCAGCTACAGGCTGCTGCTTCCTGGGGTGCCTCCAGACCTGGGAGCCCCCCCCTCCCAGCTCCCCGGGGGGCCCCCCTCAGCACACCTGGGCTGCTGAGGGGGAGGCAGCCAGGCCAGGTGTTCTCCACAGAGTAGGGGTATCCTGGCTGCTTCAGGGGGCTGGGGACAGACGGGTGGATGCCTAGCTTCTCCCCAACCCAACCAGCAGCGCAGACCTCAGCTGAGCTGCAGTGTGGCTGGGCTGGTGGGGGCCAAGGGGGAGGGGGTGGATCCCAGGTGGGCCAGGTTGGCCTTGTGGGGTGCGGGGGGAGGGCTCACCCACATCCAGGATGTCCAGTGTCAGCACATCAGAGCGGGCCGAGCCCAGCCGGTTGGTGGCCTCCACCCAGATCTCATAGGGTGTGAAGAGAGCCAGGTCCTTGGGGATGTGGCAAGAGTGAGGTCCCACCGTGTGGTATTCCTCACATGTGTTGTCCTGCCCATACCACCTGCAGGGGCAGGAGGGGAGGAGGACATGTGAGGGTCCCTTTGGGCCCCCAACCCTCCCCCCCAGCAGCCCCGGAGTGCAAAGAGGACACCAGAGCTCCGAGAGGGAAGGCTTGGCCAAGGCCACACAGCCAGGCTGGAACACACGTCACCCGAGGGCCACCACCAACCTCAGCTTGTACTTGAGGGAGTAGTTGGTGTGGAGGAAGGTTTCCCCGTGGGCCCCCGGCGTCCAGCGGCATGTCAGGTCCTTCATGTTCTTGGATGAGCAGCTGATGTTGAAGGGTTTCTCTGGGGGCACTGGGGAAGGGGGGTGCAGGGGCTGAGGGTCTGGACCAGCCGCGGACAGGTGGAAGGGGGAGTTGCTGGCTGCCAGCTGGGGCCCCCACCTTGGAGCGGAAGGAGGATGGACAGAGCAGATGTTGGCGGGGCCACCTGCGTGGCTCTCTTGAGGATGGTCTCGTGGGGGGGTTGGTCTCCAGGCTCTCATTCCCACCCTAGTGGCCTGTACCTCTCAACTTATGCCAGTATACCCATTGTTCAGCCCCAGACCAGAGGACCCATGATTCATGCCCCTCTCCAGAGGGAGATGTTGCCCCCAAGAGCTACCCCTAGGTGTCCTGGGGTCCCACTTACGGCCAACATAGAGGCAGGAGCCGGCTAGGATGCTGCCGTCACGGGCGTGGCACACGAGGTTGTCCCCCGACTGCTGCCTGGATCCGTTGAGGTTGGCCAGGGCAAGGGCTAGAGTGGAGGCGTTGAGCATTCGGGACAGCTCAGGGGGCAGGCGGTGCCCGTTGAGGGTCCAGTAGAGGCCCTCGGCGGTGGCCCCTGGTGGGTCCCCGTGCACTGAGCACGTGGCCTGCAGGGAGGAGCCGATGAGGAGCGTGGGGTCCTGGGGACTGATCACAGCCGTGTCTGGGGTCAGAGAGGAGCACCTGTCAGGCCTGGGATGGAGCTTCCCTGAGCATCCCCCACCATCCTAGGTCCTCCAAGACTCACGGTAGTCCTGCAAAGGAGCTTTATATGATTGTCCCCATTTTACAGAGAAGGAAACTGAGGCTCTATTAGGTCAAGTGACAAACCCAAGGTTGGTGGTAAAGCCAAGCTTCAGCCCCAGGACTGTCTGATTCCACAACTCAGGTCCTCCCAAAGCACTTCCTCACTGACTTGCTCAGGGCTTTCTGAGTGGTTACAAACCTCACTCAGATCCAAGTGCCTCTTGCTTTGCACATACTTCTGACAACCACCACACTCTGCTTTTTTTTTTTTTTCATTTTATTTTTGACAATTAGAAGTAACAGATTGTGTGTTCTTTCTTTTCTATCCCCAGAACCTCACACATGTGTCTCTGTGGGGAGGAAGGGACTTCTAAAAAGGGGTGCCCTGACCCCTACTAGAATCCTGCTCATTTTATGGATGAAAAAAAAACAAGGCTCTGAGAGATTGAGTCCTTTGCCTAAGGTCACCAAATAGAAGGGCACACTATTTAAACCTATATTTGTCAGTCTCTGCGCTGCCGCTGGAACTGAAAGTGACTGTGGCAAGCTCTAGGCTCCCCACCCCCATCCAAAGGGACTTGCCATCATCATGCTTTCCCTCGATTCAGTTTTCCTAACCTGCAAAATGGGAACAAGAAAACTCACGGTCCTCAGGGCCATTGGGAAGATCAGATGGCAAGTGACTTCCTAAACTGGGTTGTGTGTTAATTGGGTGCTGGGCACAGGGGCCTCTGGGATGCCGTGGTTGATGCCTTTCCTCCTGCCTGCCACTGGAGAAGCCTTCTAGTCCAAAGATTAGAACTTAGGAGAGACCTGTTTTTATCCAAGGGGAAACCAAGGCACAGAAGAGGGGGAGGGGATGCACAGTTCAAGCCCCTGATGCCCCTCTGAGTCTCAGTCTCCCCACCTGGGAAGTGGGCATCATGGTATCAGCCACATGAGATTGTTTGAGAGGAGTGAAAATATTGTCTTAAGGACAACCCTATGGGATCTTTAAGCCAGGCTGAGCTGGGTTCGAATGCCCCCAGCTCACTCTGGAGGTTAACCCAGTTCTTTTACTTCTCTGAGACTTTGGGAAGGGGCCTCTCCCTCCACTAAGAGTGGTAGTGAGGACTCATTCACCCATTTGTTCATTCATTCATTCAAGGAGCACCTACAGTGTGCCAGGCCCTGAGGGCACAATGGTGACCAAGATACCCAAAATTCATGCCCTTTTGGGCCTTGAATCCAAGGGAGCAGTAGGAAAAAGAACAAATAAATGTCTAGGAGAACAAGTAAGGGAGAAAATAAAGCACGAATCAGTGGTGGCAGCTAAACGGCCCCAGAGGCCTGTCTGGGGAGGTGGCATTTGAGCTGAGATGTGAATAAAGTGAAAGAAGTAGCCATGAAAACACACAGAAGGGCGTCCAGGCAGTGGGAGCGGCAAGTGCAAAGATACTGGGGGGCAGGGGTGCTAGGAAATGAGGTCTGGGAGGTTAGCAGGGGGCCAGACCTGCAGGGAGGAGTTATTCCAGGGTTCTGAGCAAGGGAGGGATTTATATTTTAAAAGGATCACTGGGCAGCTGTAAGAAGGGACTGCAGGGGGGCAGAGAGGCAGGGGCAGCCCAGCTTCCCTGGCAGCCAAGGACAGGATGATCCTGGTTTCCCTGGGAGGCCCCTAAATGCCAGTGGCTGCCCTGTGCTGGCTCTCACTGCCCCAAATGGGCGAGATGGGGTGGACACAGTTCCCGGGGCCAGCCCTGACGATTTTCCGGGGCAAACTTGGCTTGAGGGCCATGTCTTGCTGGAGCCTGGGATCGCAGTTGCGTTTGGGGCTTGGCCCAGGGCTCGCCGGAGGTCTCAGCGTCCGTGCGAAGGAGCCGGCTGTGCCGGCCAGAGCCGAGGAGGCGGGGGCGGCGG